GAGGACTGACTTTTTTTCTCCTCAGTGCCCATGGAGGAGAAAGTATTCGATACTTCCCCCTTGAGCAGCTATCACTTTGACTGCCCATCACCTCCCTCCTGTCAGAGATCACTCTTCTCACAGAACTGCAAGTGTTATGTGTTTAATTACTTCTGTTGGCTAGTTCTGTTGGAGTAACAGGCATTCATGCACATTCTTCTAGTAACAGACTTTTCTAATTCTGATCTTTTGACAAGAGAGCAGGTAAAGGAGGAATGAAAACTGCATTTACATTGGCACGTTTGAGGAGGCAGAAATTTCTAGAAGGAATATCAGGGAGAGTAAAATGGGCTAGTTCAGCCACAGGCAAGAGAAGGCAGCTGGCAGCAGGCTGAGAAACTTTGTTTTTGAGAGCACAGGGCTGGAAAGGGGCATATCACTGAGAAATATACCACTGAGGCTTTCTCTGTCCTTTGGATGTAAAACTTCTTTCACAAGTCGATTATTTTTTCCTAGTAACTTTTCTCATGTGCCCAACCTACTGAAACTGTTCCTGTTTCTTATGCTCCTATGTGTGTTGCAATTCTATGAAAGGGTGTGGTGGGAGTGTCACATTTTTAGAGACAATTCAGCATTTTGGAATAAGATATTTTAACTGAAGGAGCTAAAATGGCAATGTTGATTCCCAATTTAGTCGACTGAGATGTGTCTTTAAAATGAGATAAATCAGGAATGTTTCAGAAAAAAATAGATTTCCATCAAATTTGAAATATTATGCAAAAATTCTGTTTGAAGGGTGGTTCTGACAATAGTCTTCAGTTAGCACTACAGTACTGTTTTTTCGTGGCTTCAGAAATCTTCCATTCCAGTATTTATTTATGAACATTTACAACCAAAAAATGGACTAACTCCACTGTTAAAAAAACCCCTATGAATTCCTGTACTTACATGAGAGGAGGAATTTTTAAAAAATACTTAAGCAACAACCTTTGCATATCAGAACCAGAAACAGATGTTATAATTTGAATAGCCTGAACCAGAGGTGTCCAGTCATCTCTGTCTAAATACAGTTCAGCAATTACCAGGCTTCTTTGACAAATATCGTGATATTGTGGAGATACTGCTGTTTCCCTCTGTTCTTTCCTATTTCATAAGAAGGATTCCCTGAAACACCAGGGAGGCTTCAGACTCCTATGAAGATGTTAAATGTTGTGGAACTCAGAGTAAGTAGTGAAATAGGTATCATAATTTTCTATGATTTTTTATCTCCTTACAAAGATTGGGTGTTTGTTAGTTTGTTTGTTTGTTTTCTCCAGGGTAACTACTGAACGGGGTCTTTGTATTTAAGGTTAGTGTGCTTAGGGATGGGCACAGCAGCAGGTGTGCTGGGTGTGCCTCGCTATTCCCTCCTCTTCCGCCGAGGATCGCTCGCCAAAGCCGCAGGTCCAGATTCAGCAGGGGATGGGAGCAGAGCACAGCTGCAGGTGAGCTCTTCCATATGGGACCAGGGGCAGCACTCATCCCTCCGATGTAGCGGAGGGAGCTTTCGGGACACCTCGGCGGGGCATCTCCGCCGGCGTGCGGGCGGTGGGGCTCCGCGGGAGAGGGACGGTGGGATGCAGAGGGAGAGGGACGGCTGGATGCAGAGGGAGTGGGAAGGCTCCCGCACCCCGGGGACAAGTGGCCTGGAGGGTCAGCAGGTGCATCCAGAAGAGAGAAGGTTGACCGAGGATGCTGCAATTTCCTGCATTTTTGTTCTCTGTGATCAGCCATGAGGGATTTTTTTTTTTTCCTGCTTTGTTTTTTGTTCGTTTGTTTTCTGTTCGTTTGTTTTCGTTTGGTTGTTGGTGGGTGGAGGGTTAACGATAAAAAAGAAAAATAATCTACTTTGGGATCGTTTGCGTATAGTGGAAAGGTATGTATGGGAGTTCAGTTAATGCTGAAGAAGGTTAGTTGCCTGGGGGAACAGTGAGAGTCAGTATCTCTCCAACTTACCTTGGGGAGAAAGATGCTGTGGCACTATTTTAGACAAAGTGCTTTGGATTGTGTCTACAGAAAGAAGTAAATAGAAAAACTAAGGAAATATTTGTGTGATATGACAGCTATGCTTTAATTCCGTAATTCAACTTTTTGAAAGAATTATGATTTTCTGATATTTTCTGCTCATTGGAACAAGACAGAATGATCTTTTTTTACCTCACATTTACTGAAGAAGACACAGGTATATTTAATTTGTGTCAAAAATTGAGTAAAAAATGAAATATAGATAGGATTTTTTCAAAAAGGCTGTTGTGCAGCATAACCATCAAGCGTTAACATAAGGTTTAAAAATGAGGCGGGGGTATTGTGTTTGAATACTTTCTCCTGACACTTTGCCTTATTTTCTCACACTTTAATATCAGACTCATGTGAATTCAAGTCATACCATGTGAAGAAAAATATCTTCCATTAATAGTTTAACTCAGGTTCAATAAATATCTACTTTATAGTACCAGCTAAGGAGAAGTTAAGGTTTTTACAGAAAAAAAAACTTTGAAAACATTACTGTTATTGAATTTGCATTGGTCCTACATAGAAATCTCCAAGCAAATCTTCTGTTATGATGTCATTAAAATTCAGTGACTTAATGAAAATGTCACATATTGAGCAAAATTTTCAGTATTATCTAGGTTTCTGCCATTGTATTCCATCTGCAGCCCAACCTCACCACACCCTCCACCCCACCTTCCCAAAGAACAGAATCTATCAAAAGGATACATGTTTGTCTATACGACAATGGTTTGTAAATTCAAGGTTATTATTTTGGATAGGAAGTCTTATTAAAAACAAGAAAATTTTAGTAGTGGGTTTTAAAAGTTACAGATGTTATCTTAGATGAGTATTTGCAAAAAGTGTAAATCTAGATTATCTGCAGTTGTCTCTAATACAACCAAGTAGGCATAGACTACATAAGAAGTCAAGAAAGGAAAGAAAGAAAATGTTGTAAGCAGAGGAGGAACAGCCAGAAAGTTTCATACCTCTCCTGGGAGTAGGCAGTGCATCACAGAGAAAGGAGGAAAAAAAAATTATACTTGACAAGTAAATGTGATATCACTTAGCTATTACCTGGTCTTGAAGATTTGTCTGTCAGGTTGCACAGGGGCACAGCCTGCCTCTCCATGGTCTGCACCATGGGCTGCAGGAGAATCTTTGCTCTGGTGCCTGTAGCACCTCCTTCTCCTCTTTTTCCACTGACCTTGGTGTCTACAGATATGTTTCTTTCACATATTCTCACTCCTCTTGGCTGCAACTGCTGTTGCACAGTAACTCTTTTTCCCCTTCTTAAATCTGTTATCCTAGAGGTGCTACCACTGTTGCTGACAGGTTCAGCCTTGGTCAGTGGCAGGTCCATCTTGGAGGCAGCTGCCATGGGCTTTGTCGGACACAGCAGAAGCTTCTGTCAGCTTCCCACAGAAACCACCACCTGTAGAACCCCCCACGCTACCAAAGCCTTGCCATGCAAACTCTTTACAAGAAGCGTAAGCAGCAATTATCCCAGTTCTGTGATAACATCCCAGTGGGTTAAAATACTAGGACAGACCCTAAGCAAGCCAAAGATTAACTGGACTTGGTGTCCAGTTCATTGGCTGTTCTGAAATTTAGCACTATGGCCAAGTGGGACAGTGGGACAATGGGAAGTATCCAATATAAAATGTCAACCTTATAAAAAGTTATGTCAACCGTTAAAGATATGTGTGCTGCATCAAGGCCTTCAGCCTCAGTGGATATAAGTGGATGACTTTAGCAATCACATTTACCTTACTCACCTGTCCAGCATCTTGTCATCATGGTGCAGATGGCCTTGTTGCTTGATGGTGAAAGGGTCTGTGTTAGTGACCATTTACAGAACTGAGGCAGGTATTCTGCAGTTCAAATTTCTTTTTCAGTTCTTTGGCCAAGTAGGTAAACCTCTGCTTAATTACTTTCCTTTTCCCCTTCTCTTCTTTTGAACACAGCTACCCTCATCCAATTGTTAATACATCTGTTTATAAACAATCTCATACATTTTATTTTATTTATTTATTTCCATTATTTTTAATAATTTTTATTATTTTATTTCTTCCTAGAAATAAGAAACAAAATTTCATCACTTTCAAGAAGGCAACCCCAAGAACAAGTACAGGCTGGGCAGAGAAGTGATTGAGAGCTTCCCTGGGGAGAAGGACTTGGGAGTGTTTGTAGACAAAAAGCTCGACATCCCCAGCAATCTGTGCACTCACAGCCAGAAAGCCAACTGTGTCCTGGGCTGCATGAAAAGAAGCATGGCCAACAGGTCAAGACGATTCTGCCCCTCCCCTCTGCTCTTCTGAGAGCCCACCTGGAGTACTTCATCCAGCTCCGGGGCTCCAAACACAAGAAAGATGTTGGCCTGTTGGAATAAGACCAACAGGGGGAGGGTCACTAAGTTGATCAGAGGGCTGAAGCACCTCTCCTACAGAAACAGGCTGAGAGATGTTGGAGTTGCTCATCCTGGAGAAGATAATGCCCTGGGGAGATCTTATAGTAGCCTTCCAGTACCTAAAGGAGGCTTACAAGGAGGCTGGAGAGGGACTTTTCACAAGGACATGTAGCAATAGGACAAGGAAGAATGCTTTTAAACTGAAGGAGGATTTGATTTGAGGGTTTGATTGGAAGGTTGATTTGGATCACTCCAGCCAAGAGAAGCTGACAGAGCACTTTCTGAGACTAGAGTAAACACTGTATTACTAGAAGGTGTATCTTGGATTATTTCATGTTTGTTTAAATTGTAATGGAGTTACTACATGACAGATTTCATTTTGAAAATAACATCATCCAATTCTTTCATGCACAGTCTTGAATGTACAAAATCTTTCTGTGAAATTTTTTTACAAAATGCAGATAATCCTTAAACAGTAGTATACACTGAGATGTGAGACTTAACTATTGAGATCCAAATTATCATCCATCAATAATTTATTTTCTATTGCTACTACAGAACCAAACCCTAAAATCACTGAAGAATGTGTGAATTTCAGTCTTTCTGTCAGAATGGTACACGAGGTTTGATTAAGAGATCTTGGAGTGGATGGCACCAGGTGATCAGTGCTGCAGAGACAATCATCCTTCCTTCTCTGATTGGGATTATCTGTTCAACAGGTTTAGTAGGAAATATCCTCACTGTGTTCACGATAAGAAGGTATGGAATGGAATACATTTCCTCATAAGACTTATTGCATGAATGATGACTGCACTAAGGAAGTGGATTGCCCAGCAAAGACAAGGATAACAAGTTTTTCATGTTCCCTTTAGTCATTGACATTTATTTCTTATTTTAAAAAAAGAAAAGTTAAATCATGACTATAGATAGCAGTAATTTATGCCTGCTTACCCTTTTCTGCTATAAGAAAGGACTGAAGTGCATTAATGACTTCAAACACATTCAAGGAAACTGAAATACATGCCTTCTTCCTGGGTTTCCACTGGAATTGGCAGGAATCTTCCCTCTAGCACATGTAAAAGTTAGGCTAAACTTTAAACTTTAGTTATGGTAATAAGAAGGGATTATAATGTTCTACAGAATTCTTTTAAGATCATTTGAAATATAGTCTCCTTTGAAAACTGCACTTCTGCCCCAGACTATTTTAGTAACAGACTTTAACTTCTGCCAATTCACAGCAACTTCCTAGAACTCATTGCTGTTTTCTAGCATCACCTTACTTCTGGAAATGGGCCTTAGTGCCAGTGAGGTTTCACACATGGTAGGAATTAATACCTCAAGATATTTTTGTTTTATGCTGAGAAATTGAAACTGCTGAAGTTGTTTATTTTTGAGGAGTCATAAAATCTGACCCAACCATCCTTTACAGAAAAAAACTCCAAAATCTTCCAATATCTTAATTTTAACAGAGGGGGTTTTTTTCCCTATGTATGAGAAGAAAAACCCACAAACCATGTTTGTTCTCAACAGGCTGATGCTACCACAAACTCTAAATCCATAAGCATGTATCTTGAAAAAGTGGCTTTTATCCGTGGTGCAAACTCAACATAAAGAAATATGGCACATAAGGCTGACAATCATCACACTCCGCAAGGATTAACAGATGGACTCCACCTCTACATCCCATGCTTTCATAGGAAAGATTTGCAAAGGCCAATGGAGGACTAAGTGTCTGTCAGCCTCTGGGCTTTAGTATACTTGCCTTGAAACTAACAGAAAGTCAGTGCCTGGTGCACTCAAGAACACTGCAGTTCATAATTTGAATGCAGAAGGGAACAAATGTGAAAACAGTATGTCTGAAGTGAACATAATGGCAATATGACTTTTGAAATGTATGAATGAATAGAAAGGGGGAAAAAATTAGTTGTAGTGTCTCTAAAATAATAGAATAGAAGGAAACTAACAAAGAACAAAGATTATTATTTTCCCCTGGTGAAAAGGCTTTGTCTAACTTAAATAAAAATATGAGAGGCAGAGGGAAAAGACACAGACAATGACTTGAAATAAAAGGAATATAATTTAAACCATATTTACTTGAGAAAATTATAAGCATTCAAATTTATGGGCAGGAACATTTATACTCAAGAAAAGAATTTGGATATAGTGTGTTAAAAAGTTAATGTGGTATTTACTAACACCATAAAAGACACAAACCTCAAATGCTGTAGATGAAGGTACATTTAAATTTTAGCTACGTTTTGAAAAATAATCGTGTTAACTTCTCACCTTCCACTAAACAGATCTGATTGTACTCAGTGGCTCTGCTTCAGAGTTGTCTTTCTTCTCTCTTTATTGAACACATTTTTTCATGCCAACATTTTACTTTTGTTAACATTACAGAGACAATTCTTTTAAGAGAAAAGGAAGCTAGATTATTTCTCTAATAAAGTAGAAAGCTATTTACATTCTGGTAGCAAAAGCTTTACTGACTGTAGAAAAGGATAAAGAAAGGACCTTGGAATTTCTGTTCCCCAATTTCATCTGCAAGTCTGCCAGCTAGGGACAGACATTTTTAAGTGTAAAATAATATTATATTATCTGCATCTTACTGGGAGGAAATAACTGAAACTCCTAGTAAACCTTGCATGTAATATATGCCTATGTAGTGAGATTTATTTTTAAAATTACTAACTCAGTGACTTTTGGCTGGCCCTCCTTGTGTAAATTATTTTCATCCCTAGGGAATAATACAGGGAATTGAGATATGCTACTATTAAGTAAAAAGAAAATGATGAAGAAAATGCTGCAAAGGTTCTGTGTTAGCCCAAAGGACCAAATAATCTTCACCCCAACAGTTTAGAAAAGCTGGTCCTTAGACCTGCAGTTCTGTTAGCAAGTTTTTTATGTAAACCCACTGATTTTGGTGGAGTGGCTGCTTGGAGAACTATGGCTTTTTACGGAGGTGGAAAATATAATCCAGACCACCCCATTAGTTTGGCTTCATATTTTAAAGAAAAATTATGTAACAGAGGAGTAAAGGGAATCAAATATAATTTCAATTATCTGAAAGTACTCCTTTTCAGATTAACTTCATTCTTAATAAGGTAACATAATAGTGAGTGTTAAAATAGCATTTTCTGAAATGGAGAGGTTGCAAATAAGAGTCAAGGCACTTACTGCATTCTTCAGCTGGAGAAGGTGTATTTGAAATCAAATGTAGAGTCACTGACAGAAAATTTTTGAAACCTCTACATAGAGGTAAATTTAATATTAGAAGATTTTTTAATGTTATCATGTTGGAACTATTAAGGTAGCTAAAGAACAATTTCATGAGTAGAACTACAACATGAGAAAAAATAGCTGAAGGGTGGAGGGTTCTAGGAAATGTTGATAAAAAAACAAGTTTTGTGAAAAAATTTTCAGGAGAAAATCAGTTAATGTGGAATTTTCAGGGACTGATTGGTAGATACCATGTTTTCCCTCAGAGACCTGTGGCAAAGTGTAGGATTGAGTCAATAGTATTCCTAGTGACATCCACTGGGGATGTGTGTCTGATGTGAAACAATGTAAGACTATCAAACAGAAAGAACCAGATAAAGAATAGAGAAGATGCTAGAGCAATAGAAATTTTTTCCCACCCATAGAATCTTTTTCTTACCAGTATTTTTTTTTAAATAGGAAGAACTGTTGCCAGAAAACAACAGAAGAAAAGCTCCTGAGATTGCTACGGGTTGTTATTAGGCTAAAGCTGTGTGAAAGCACACACAGCTGTAATACATGTAAGGCTTTGCCTTTCCAGGGAAAAGAGGAAAATGCTAATGCCATTTTCCAGGCTCATAACAAGGTCTGAAATACAATTCTCACCAGCTGTTTCCTGGAAAAATAAGATATTAAGACTGGAATAAGAACAGAAAAAACCAAAAACCCTAACAGGAAAAAAAAAAAAAAAAAAACCAACAAACAGCAAAAACCTAACCAAAAATACGACCAGAAGAAGGGATAACTATTCAAATTGACCTACATTTGTTTACATCCAGAAGGAAAGGGGACCGTGAGTAACATCAGAGCTGGAAATTTAAAATTACTTTATCCAAGTCAAGCAAGCTGGTTTGCTGATAACAGATTTTGTAGGGGAAGAAGGGCCTAGATGGGAGGATGACTTTAATGCTGGTATTATTTGCTACTGCAGGCAGACCCCACAAGGGATTCTATTTTCGCCTTTCCTATGGGAAGAAAGGTATATACTCATGGTTTTAAATGCGTAATGCCTATAAATTATCTTTTCTTTGACCTGAAAGATCACTTCCAAATTAATGCTTAAGCTTCAAGTTAATGAAGACCTTTCTGTCCAGGAGGGTCTAAATAAATTCTGATGATAGCAGTTAGAGAGGCTAAATAATGACTCGTGGCAACACGTTATGCACCTGTTATGTTTCTTGAATTTTTTACTGAAGAGACAGTCAGTATATGGATTATTACATTGTCATGCGTGCTCAAAAATTTTTGTTGTTGTTGTTATTATTAACTAGAAAGTTCAAAAACACTTTCTGTATACTGTTGATCTTAAGGAAAAAAGTAACCAAATTCAGGAAAGAAAAGTCTACTTTGCACCAAAGTCATCTCCTTGCCATATGTCAGAGTAAGCATAGAGGAAAACAAAAAGACAAACTTTTTTGCATAGCACGATGCACTGATCAATCAATAAGAAGACATGGGAATAAACAAACAGCATCAATGGGAAGAACAGTTGCTATTGAATTTGTAGCATAAAAGACAGCATGATTCCGTGGTAGTGAAATGTAGTTGGTAAAGGGAAGGAGAGAAGAAATTACCAGAAAACAGAAAGAAGTAGAAAATTTAAAGTTATCCATAATTTTGAAATGGAAAAAGTGGCTACACTGATACATATTAGAAATCTAATTTGGCTGACATATAGTTTTAAAAGGCTCAAGAAATTATCAGTTCCTTCAAAGTTCAGTTTTAAAAGCTCTGTTCTTATATTTATTTGTATTCTTATATGAGTAATGTGACAAATGACAGTCTTTTCACATATTTCTAAAGAATTTACATATAGTAGTATCTTTAATCTTAGTTTGGAGAAAAAAATTATGCAAAAAATAATAAGTGTTAAGGCAGGAACAAGACATGAGGTCCTAATGAGGAAAGACAGAATATCGAAACCTGGTATGAAAAATAATTTATATGCCATGTAAAGCCAAGTCTTAAAACAGATTTGTGCTTTTTCCAAAAAGAAACCTTTCTTTTTTGTTTTGAGGAAGATTTTTCCATCTTATACACTTACCTAGGGAAAACTGTCTAAATTATTTCTCTCCCCTTAGTTTTATCACTCCTAATAACAATTATGATGCTATAGCCAAGAGAAACAAAGGATTTTCAGATAACAACCTCCCAAACTGTTTAGTCCTTGACAGTTTCAGTAAAGTACTTCTGAATCCACCTAGGAGCCTTTATTAAATGTAAATATTAAATTAGCAGTTTTGCCAAAAAATCAGCAACTTATCAGATTTTGACTGCAAAATCATCCCACATTCACAATAAAACTAAGACACATAATTTACATAATTTCTGTTAAAAAATTGTATGACTAATGCATCATTGAACATCTTCATGTGCTCTTTCATATTTCTCAAAAATAAAAGAACTTAGAATGGAAGCCAGGAGCAGGTCAGACCTGAGAAGGCAGATTCCAGAAGCCTGAGCTGAATAAAATGAATACCACATGCAAATTAATATCAGTC